ATCTTCGTAACACTCCTTCTCAATTCAGTCTTTTATCTTTCTCTATGAAAAACAGACGATTTGCCTCTTGGGATTTAATGTACATTGCTTTTATTTTTTCTTTCTTCAGCAAACGTGCAGGACTGTAGAATTGGAGTGCGGGCAGCCTTAGCTGGGCCAACCAACATCTCTCAGCTATGGGCCAGCTGCAAATGTGAAGAGAAGAAAAGCAGAAAATGAGGCTGTAGATGTACAGACCTTCAACAAAACATGGCAGAGCTAGGGAAGACGTTTAATTCCACATTCAGAAAAAATAATGGAAGAAACATAAACTTTTTTCAGCTGTTATTAAGTTCTGCTGGTTTATGGCACGAGTCGCAGTGAGGATTTGCTGTGAAGATACAGAAGTTGCTGCTCTTGCACCAGGGGCTGGTATGTGTTGTACCCGAGGGGAACATGACCTGCAAAGTCAACTCTGAGTTATCGCAGGCAGCTGCCTGCTCAGTTTTTCCATCTTCTCCTTCTCAGCAATTTCTTTTTGACACAAAGGCACCACTCCCCCGGCCACACACACACCCTATAGATGACTCAAGCTATTTATCCTATGGGCTGGGAAGGAACGCAAGAGACAGAGACTTGCTTTCATCTCTTTTTAAATGCTAGGGAAGCACTGAAATTATGATAATGAAGGCTACAAATAATTAAACTGTTCTGTGAAGTGCATATCTGTGCATGCATATACTTTTTTTTGAGGTGGAGGGGTGTACTGGGCTTTTTTTTTATCAGAACAATCAGGTTTTGGAAGAGGTGAGAGGTCATATATAACACACGGATTGTTACAGAGTCACCTCGAGAAACAACAAGAGCATATCGTGAACACGTACCCTGCTGTTCATACTTGTGGTTGCTAAGATAACAGAAACAAAACACCAGTTTTGGGTGTTTGCAGCTCCCGAGGATGTGGTTTGTGCGTTGCTTGTGATAGTCTGATGACTGGAGGTGGCTCCCTTCCAATCATTTTCAATTTTTTTCCAGATCTTAGAAAGCTTTTTGTTGTGAATGCTTGTAAGCGGGTAAGTGATGACAATGAAGTTTATTTTCCCAAAGCACAGAAAACACCCTGGATGATTCAAAATATATTCTTTGTTTATTTCTCTACCTGCACCTATTCACAGGGTATGTGAGTACAAGTTCTGACTAATCGGGCAGAGGGGAAGGCACTGTTTGAGCAGGGAAGGATAAACGAGCTTGAAAAATAGAACATATTAAGACAATCACTGTAATTCTTAAATAAGTTATTTGTCTGGAGACAGCATGTAAAATCCAACACCCGTTATAGTAGGTGCTGAGCAGAGACATAAGAAAAGGACAGCCTCTGTGCCACTCTAGCTCCCCATTCTCCCCCATGAAAGCCAACAAGACAAGCAAAAACACTGTGACCCTTGTAAGGGATTTCTTTGTTTGACGCAGTGTATTTTAGCTTGTGTTAAGTCCTGCTGCTGTAACGTGTGTTTATATTCACACAGGTGGATTTACAGGACGGAGTATTTTGGGGTGGGGGGGGTCCTGTGGCAACCACTGCTTGGCATTTCCACTCACTTTGACCTCTCACAGCTGAAAGTAGGGGAAGGAGCACTGCAGCTACAACGACAAATCCAAAGGGTGAATCTGAGAATTTCCTATGAGAAAGTTAAAAAAACCCAACCCACAAACAAACAAAACCAAGCCACCTAACTTTTGTTATCTGTATGTTTGGGGAACCTTGACTCAAGCTGTTCACCGAGTACCAACATGAAATGGTGATAAATTATAATATTAGATGTTCCTAACATCATAGGGAATCCAGGATACATGAGAAACTGGGTAAGAGACAGGACCGCTTTAAAATACAAGAGGCTGGCCTGATGCTTAACATACACTGAGATACAGTGTATTTTAATGTTCTGATAAGCCTAAAAATCCTGCAGCAGTCAGCTCTACTACTTAAAGCCTTTAAGTAGTAAAAGCACCCATCTTTTGATTCAGGCTGCCCGCATGTGTTTTAAGAAACTGGCATTACCTCCTATGATAAATGCCCTATATAATGTATATTTGGATCTTGCCATTCTGGATAGCTGCAGGCAAACATAATTCTGTGTTCCTCCACCCCGAATGCTGGCTGCCCAGTCAAAACCACTGTTGTTGTCAGTGGGAAAGCACTTAATTCTGCTACAACTAGGCACTGTTAATTCCCTCAGCTCCCTTTCCCAGCTTTCAGCTGTGAAACCTCCCTCCCAGCAATCACAGCGCCGGATACAAGGAGAAAATTTTATCACACAAGCATCTTTGAACGCAGCACAAACCAGGAGTACTGTATTTTGCAAAGTATGTTCAAAGATATAGCCTAGAAAACGCAAACCTAAAAATACAGGCTTAGAAGCAATTGTAAAGTTTTTCAATAATTTTGCAATAAAATTTACTGCACTGACATGAGGACAGGTCACACAAGGTATGTTGCTGTTAACCCTTGTGTGCTGAACGACAATTGCAAACTCCATTTACTTCATTAAGAACTTGTGTAGGGAATGCAAAATGGAGTGGAAATAGTAGTCTGTCATGGCTCTAACGTTGAAAAACTAGGGCTTCATTATTTCTTATTTCAGTGTTGCTATTTAAGCTCTCCTGGTCATGCAGACCAGCAGCGAGATCATTTGGATTAATAATGACAATGTGTGTTTTGCCTTTTTCCCCTTTTAGACTTCCTAAAAATTTGCAGTCGCTGTTTTTGGCAACACGGATCAGCAACATGTCCCCCAACATTAAGACTTCCTGTGGAGATACAAACATTTACTAATCTGGCCACCGTATCCTATTTAGTGCTTGCCAATTCCACTGCTGTGATAAGAAAAATAATAGCACACGCCATCAAAGCCTAAGACTAAGGAAAAGGATTAACTTCCATTACAGGCACCTACTATCTACTCCTACTTAAGGGAAACAAAGAGAAAAGGAGTTAAGAAAACTATGATTTAGCATCTCTGGCACTGCCCACTACTGAAGAAAGGCTATGAAGACACCATGCTGAAATCAAGTGGAAAAAAAATGATACCATGGAAACTGAACAAAAATAATAATTTGCTGTTACATCTCTATCCTAGACCAGGAAGCCCTTAACCTGCAAATCACCAGATGCTCAGCATGTACTGGTGAAGTATCATCACATTTTTGCCTTGTTCTTCTTTTCCTTACACATCTGTTTCCAGTCATTTTCAGAAACAAAATCCTGCATTAGCTGGATATCTGGCAGGACCAAATACACCTATTATGGTGTCTTCAGATTCTGCTTAAAGAGTGCTGATGGTACATACACATTTAAATGTTTGGCAAATCTGAGGATAATGAACAAGAAAATGGGAGATAATTAGCACAGTCTAAGCAATCTCTAAAGAAGGATGGCTGAACGGTGGAGAAGCTGAAAGACGGCTCTGAAACAAAGGGACCTTGAGGCTGGAGGCATCAGAGACACCTCCCTTGGGAATCACAGGGTGCAGATACGCAAAATGACCCCCAAGACTGTGGAATTCGAGTTTCTGCAGCTTGAGAGCAAACTGAGGGCACTACAGTAACAGGATTTACCCATGTTCCCCTTCATTAGGATACAGTGGCACTGAAGAGCGAATGCAGTAGGAAGAACCAAGCGCCGGCACTGACAAATCCCATCCCTGGTGCCCACTTATTGCAAACCATGAAAAGATAACTGCCTTTTGTTTAATTTCCTCATCTATGGATGAATCTGCAAACAAATGTATTTCCCTCAGTTCCTGTGGGTATCACCTGTATTGTGTTAAACATAGAATCATAGAATTTTAGAATGCTTAGAGCTGGAAGGGACCTTAAAGATCATCAAGTTCCAACCCCCCTGCCCTGGGCAGGGACACCTCCCACCAGACCAGGTTGCTCCAAGCCCCATCCAGCCTGGCCTTGAACCCCTCCAGGGATGGGGCAGCCACAGCTTCTCTGGGCAACCTGTTCCAGTGTCTCACCACCCTCACAGGGAAGAATTTCTTCCTGAGATCTCATCTAAATCTCCCCTCTTTCAGTTTAAAACTGCTACCCCTAGTCCTGTCACTACAGTTCCTGACAGAGAGTCCCCCGCCAGCTCTCGGGGCCCTCGTTCTCTCAGCTGCCCTGAGAAGGAGTAACACACGCTGCTCTGTGCCGCAGGCCCCTTCCCTCGCAGGCACACACCAGGCCCCAGCCCGGCCCGAAGAGCAGGCCCTCAACGTGCCGCCTTCACACACCGCCCGCCCGCCCTGACCGGCCCCGGGGCTCCCCCTACCGACAGCCCTGCCTCGGGGCGGGGAGCCGTGGGACCGATACTCCCCGCCCTCCGCCGCCGCCGATCCGAGCCGCCATACGCCAACCCCGGGCGGAGGCTTTTTGGGCGGGGCGAGGCCCCGTAGCCGCGCAGGGCCCGGCGGCTGTTGCTATGGCAACGGGAGGAGGGGGGCGGTGAGCGTCTCACTGGCGTCACGTGGCGCGGCCTCACCCCCCCCCCCCCCC